CACGTAGAGCGCTCTGACTCCAGGGCTAGAGTGCTTCTGGTACTCCACCTCGGCAAGAAGATTAATGCTTGGTGTGCATTGGCTGAAACGCCCAGGCATCAGTGTGAACAAGGTGGTGCATTACTGCACTCTGATCAGCCTCCGGAACCATCCCATAATCTCCTTAAGTCAAGTGGCCACTCTTGTCATTGTTTTGTAATCGCTGCAGGAATGCGGATATGCCCTTTGAAAGCTCCAGCCAGCATGCTTATCTGCTCCAAGACAAAGCAACTATTACTGTGGAATGGTGTGTGTGTGCGTGAGAGAGAGGGGGAGGGAGGAGTGAAGGGGGTCTGCTGCTTTCTGAATTTACAAGACAGCATGCTGACATGCGCTCAGCTCTTAAATACCCATTCTCTCCCCCCACATACACTCAACACACTCCATCCCCCCCATTTGAAAAGCACGTTGCAGCCACTTGCATCCTGGGATAGCTACCACAATGCACTGCTCTCTGTGGCTGTTGCAAGAGCTGCTAATGTGGCCATGCCAGTGCACTTGCAGCTGTCAGTGTGAACAGATTGCAGCGCTTTCCCTACTGCGCTCTACAAAGGCTGGTTTAACTCAAAGCATGCTACATCTGCAAGTGTAGCCATGCCCTAAAGTAGATTTATGTTCCTTCCCCACCAAAGTTGAGAAATATTTATTTACTAAGCCCTTTTTAAAATTTGATCAAAACAACATAGATGCATGAGGCTGGCGTTCATCTGCTTAGACAATTTAGTGGGTCAGATTTTGCTACTGTTCGTTCCAGATTTGATCATATTCATGAGTAGGAACACAAGATTAGGATATATTTTTAACTCCTATCTTCAAAAAAAATTACAGGTAAGTAGTATTCCTACAGTATGTACACCTTGCAGAGAATTTAGCTTACTCTGAAAACTTTTTCCTGAATATTGTTCATTCCTGAATGTTCCGGTAGCTAAGCACAAATGTTACCCATATCAGATACTTAAGTGGATTAGCACAATAGCTGTAGTTACTTTCTCATGCAAAATAATTTATAATACTGTGACTTGTTAGATGTTAAGAAGCGTTGATCATTTAATGGGAAAGTTTTATAAAATTCAGCCTGAGTTTCAAATATTTAATATGGGCAGTTCGGCATAGAGATTCTGTTAGAGTATTTTTCACTTTAAACCTTATACCAGCTCCATATGTAAGAAATGGTGAGAGCAGCAAAGTGGCAGGAACCTTTTTATACTGTTCATTTACTTACCAGCATCATTGTTATGTAGTTTGAATACATCTCTAGTGAATTTTTTTGACTGACAATTTTCTCACAGAGCTGATATGTAATAGTATTCTATGATTTGGGTACTCTGTAGGATTAATCGTTTTAAGTGTATTCCTTACTAATGATGTCTCTTCTTAAGAGACCAGAGGGTTTGTAGAGAGAGAACTTTCAGTATATGGTCTAGTAATTGTGTGTGCTGTTGTAGCAAATCTCTTCAGGACTCCCTGACTTTCAAAGATGTTTTCTCATTTAAAAAAGTAATTTTTAAAATAAATTACTCATTAATAGAAGGAAAGATGTTCTGTTAAGACAGTGAACTGGAATTCAGGATATCTTGGTTCAGTTCTGAGCTATGGCACAGAATTCCTATGCCAATGCTTTAGTCAGTCTTTCTGCCTCAGTTTCCTATATGTAAATGAGACACTTCTCTACTACAGTAGGGTGGGGTGGCTAAATTAATGTATGTGAAGCATACAAGTATTATGGTGTTGTGTTCATATAAATAAGTGCAGTCTCTATGAAAGAAAACAAGTAATTTGCTGATCTTCAGATTTGGAAACTATCAAGATATTCACAACCACTTGCTTAATTTATACAGTTGTGTAACTACCACCTCTTTGTCTTTGAAATCAATTAGTCTCAAAGACTTAAAAGTAGATTCATCTACTACATCTGCCTTTGTGTCCCAATACTAACTTTGGGGTTCACAATCACTTTTTCGTATTTTTAAGTGCTCTCCTTCAATGTGTGAAATACTTGAACAAACAGTAAGTGGTATCAAAAACACAAAGCAAAGAAACTGGAATAAGAATGAGGGTTTTTTCCCTGCTCTAATCTATTTCAGTTATAGGAATCTTAAGGGTTACTAGTAATGATGATAGGTAAAATATTTTGTGACAGAAGTGATTTGTTTTTTAAACTGAGTTTTTCTAAAGGTAACTTGCACAGAATTTTCTAAAAAATTGTACTTGTTCCCTCTTTTTATACTGGTTTTATGCAGTATTTTTGAAAGGTTAAAATTCATCAAACTTTTGATCTAGCTTCTCGGCCTAGTGCTTCTTGATGAAATTGTAATATGAATATATTTCTGTATTTGGTAGTACAGCTCTAACTAAAATAACCCTTGGATGTCATCACTTTCAGATTTAAATGCAAAGCTCTTTTATTTGGCTTAGCTTTGCCACAATACATTTTTCACTCATACATAGACACACAGTGACACTCAACCACTCTCTCAAACCAAGTAATAATAATAATAATAACCCCCTCCCATAAACCCTATAAACTAATCAAGTAAATTTTCCTACAGGCTGGGAAGGACAAAAGGGATTTTTTTTTTCTATTTTTGAATACTTGAGAGATTCTCAGATACCACTATATTAGCACCTGGATAAACCAGAAAGAGCAAGTCCCTCTCTTGTTCCAGGATCAATGTACCATTTCCCCAAAGAGAGGGGGAAATAAGTTGTATAATTTCCACAAGTGTTTTCAACCCTAGCTTTTTGAGACAAAATGGCTTTATATTAGAACATTGCACTTTTCAGAATTTAACTAGAAATTAAACTGTTCTGAGTAAACATTCAGTTAGTTTGGTTTTATTTCCTGCTATTGTGGAAGTTAGTTGCAATGAAGTAGAGATGGAATAAAAGAAAATCATATTTTTGTTTCCTTAAAATTCCTTTTCATTCTCCCTGCTCATACTTTTTTGGGGGTTTTTTCTTTTCCTTTATTTCCCTAGGAGTAATTACATTTCATGCCCTCATTCTCTATTTTTATTAATATAAGTGTATGGAAGCAGTACTAGGGACTTTTCTTAAAGCATTTTTCTACGGGATTCCTGTACGAAATTTCTCTGTCATGTTGTAATAAACTTGTTTTCAGGATAACTAAAATTCTTAATGTGCAGTTAAGACAGCCACTTAATTTTTTTGCTACTAAGAGTCAGATCTTCTAAGACACATTTTAGCGGCATCTGTTTGACGAACACTGATGCTTTAGCATTATACTTCTTGTGCAAGGGTATATGATCAGTGTTTTTAATGGATTATTGAGGCACCAGAAATAACTCCATAGTTAAGGTTGCAGCTATCTTCTTATAACCCCTACTTTTACCACCATTCTATAACTTTAGCTTGACTTTCCATTTTAGTCCAAAAATTGGCAGCTTGCTCTTAGAGACCAGAAATGAAACTTTTTGCTATATTTCAGGGAAACTGATCTTGAAGTTTTTCTTGGTTATCGCCAGTACATATATGCAAACTTTTCTCTTTTTTCAAAGAAAGGTTAGTGAACAGTGAGAATATGCAGTTTGGGTGCCTTTAGTCAACCATATCCTGTTTCTTCCTTTGTCTCCCATTATCATGTTTTGATTGAAGGTAACCTGCAAAGGATATTTAAAATTGGGCTTGTAGTCTTTCTTGTTGCTTTATGTATAAAGAGGGCCTGAACGTGATTTTAAATATTTATTTTCTGCTTGCTTTTTACCTTAGAAATATCAAATGTTCTCACTGGTTTCCCCTGGTTTTTCTAGAGGACTTAGAGCATGTTTCGGAACATGCATAATGGTAGCTCTCACAACTCAATCGAAGGCATGGGGATATTGGAACTTGAACACAACATCCTTTCTCCAAATTGTTAATTAGACATTGAAGTGAAGTATGTTAAGAAAACAAAATTTAAACAGTGTAACAGTCGCTTTCCCTTTCAATTGCTAAGTTTTCCGTCTTGGTTCTTGTGATGTTGTCTTGTAATTAGTTCTCCGTTCATCATGGTGTCTTCCTGACTAGACAGGACATGAATCTCGAGTGTAAATAAGCAGAAAAAATCACCTTAACCAAACCATCACACCTCTTTTAAACATCCTAAAGAAGCAAAGTAGGGCACAAGCCCAATGTTTTTTTTCCTTTGCAGGTCTCCTTTAAGAGCAGAGGCAACCTTGATCCAGCAGTTTTGGAGGTAGAGGCAAGTAATTTTTTACTTTTTTGTCAAAATTTCAATAATTTTTTGGGGGGTACATATAACTTAAAAAAGGCCTAGTTTAAAAGCCTCAAACATTGTGTACACTTAGTATGAAGAATATATCTTTAGATTTATTTAAGCTTTTCTTGCTTATTGTTTGTCTATGTGAACACTTAAACTAGTGAAACATGTTGTAGATAATATCTTTTTAACCCTATTGGATGTTATAGCCCATATAAGCATTTAAAAAAAAGTTGCTATATCTTTTCCTTGTGGGACTATCTTCAAAATATAAATCAATAGATGGAAATGTTTTATCAGGTTGATTTCCTCCTAAAATCAGTTATTTATGCTCCATACCTCCAGCTGCTGTAGCTTCTATCTCAAGTTTCTGCTTCTTAGATTATTTGATTTGTTAGTTGAAAATATACACTTCTGTAAGTAGAATTGTCTTTCCCCTTCAACTCCAACCTTTTTCTCAAGACTGAAGCGGCAATTCCTGCATTGCTGTGTAGAGAAACTCAACAGTTCCTCCTGTCCTCAAGCCAGGGCCGGCTCCAGGCACCAGCCCAGCAAGCAGGTGCTTGGGGCGGCCAAGGGAGGAGGGGCGGCACATCCAGCTCTTTGGCGGCAATTCGGCGGCGGGTCCCTCATTCCTTCTCGGAGCGAAGGACCCGCCGCCGAATTGCTGCCGAAGACTGAAGCTGCAGCGCTATTGCTGATCGCGATCGCGGCTGCTTTTTTTAAAAATTTATTTTAAAAAGCAATGGTTAATCCCCTGGGAGGTGACATTTGTGCGGCTGGAGTTGGATGTCTCCTGCATTCTTGGGTCCTGAAAAAGAGGGAGCTCTTGTGTCCTGTTTTTGCCACCCACAGAAGAGTTTGAGGAAGTGTGTGCACTGTTTTAATTTTCTTGTTCAAAGATGCACATGTATAAATGAGACTTCATTTTCCAATAACTAGAATTTCTTAACCTTAAATGTAGATGGACATTAATTGACATCTGTAGGGCAAAGAGGTGAAGTATTTACATCTTAGTTTTTAGTTTCGTGAATTATTAGCATGCTAGAGACATGATGGAGAAAATAGTGAAAACTGTGAACTTTTATATTTTGGCTTTGGTTCCTATTTCAGTGATTACTTCCTTTTTTTACAGATACAGTAGAATTCTCAGGTCATAACAGTACAATGTAAAGATTAAAATAAAATGGTTAACATTTAAAGCAGGGGTAGGCAACCTATGGCACGCGTGCCGAAGGTGGCACACAAGCTGATTTTCAGTGGCACTCATGCTGCCTGGGTCCTGGCCACCGGTCCCAGGGGCTCTGCATTTTAATTTAATTTTAAATGAAGCTTCTTAAATATTTTAAAAACCTTATTTACTTTACATACAACAATAGTTTAGTTATATATTATAGACTTATAGAAAGAGACCTTCTAAAAACATTTAAATGTATTATTGGCACACGAAATCTTAAATTAGAGTGAATAAATGAAGCTTTGGCACACCACTTCTGAAAGGTTGCCGACCTCTGATTTAAAGTAAACATTAATCTTTGTCTGCAAAATACTGTGCAACATAGAGAATACTAATGAAAAATGACACACTGAACTTTTTAGCACTTAGCTTGGTGTTTTGTGAATGGAAGAATAAGTTTATGCTGGATAATAGGTAACTTTTTTCTGTCTCTATATAATATAAAGCTCAGTTGTGCCATTTAGGCACAGCCCAGTATTAAGGAGGAAAGTTTTGGGGAAACTCTGCCTCAAAATTCCACCTGCATGCCAGGAAGGTAGTGTTTGCTTCTATGCTTCTTTGTGGCATTCAGCTTAACCACACCCATTAGAGCAGGAAGGAAGCTATCCCTATGCTCTACTGAGTTGACTGCAGTTGTGCTTGGGCCTAATGCGGGCTGCACAACGGAGGGACAAAGTTTTCTAATTAGCCCACTGCCCCCTAATTACCTGTGTAGGGGCCAAGCACAGTCTGGTCCACAGAAAGCAGTTTCATATTTTGTTGTATAACAGTTGCATTATTCTTTTAATAAAAATAAACAGAATTAAGCATGTATTAATGAGGGCATACTCCCAATACCTTTCTCCCCACCTCACTGCCTTTGCTCAAGTTGTGCTGTGTCCACAACATTTAAGTGTAGTAACCTCACTGTGAAATTTGACTGACCTCACCTAAAGCCAGAATGGATTCCTGAGTCAGTTTCAGTAGACAAAACTGCTCTGTTTTGATAAAATAAAACCATGTCGACAAGAGGCATAAAGCTTTTTGCAGCAAACTTAAAGTGACAAAGCATCAGGGTAGGCACTGCCACTCATTATATCGCCATAACTGGCCTCCCCTAGTAGCCCACAATACCCGCTGTGACTGCTCCGCTGCCCTGCATTCCTGCTACACAGGCATGCACCCCTCCCCTTTCAAAGCTCCAGGAAGTTCTGAGAGCTGAGCATGCCACTCAGCTCTGGCAGTAGAGAGCAAACCATTAAGGTGGAATGCTGCTCTCTCCTGCCCTACAAACACAAAGGGAGGCAGGCAGG